GGCCAAAGGCCGATCACACCGGGGAAACCAACGTGTAGCCTGACATCAGGGAAGATTCTTTCTAAATTGCAAACATTTCCAATAATTTTAACTCTTTTTAATTCCAATCAATTATTCGCTTAAAAAAAAATTAAACAGGAATATGAAACACGATGGAGCCCCAGACCACAAGCGTAAATGTCGGAAAAAAATAACATAGGAAAGTTTACTAACCATTAATATGTCCTTTTTTTTTTGGCACGAACAAATCAAAAGACCGGCCCTGTATGCATGTAACAAGGTTAAAGAAATAAGTCCAGACCGTTATATTGAAGTATTGAATAAAGTTTAATGTTGAAAAGGCAACAACCGTGACGTCTCTAAATGTAACGTTCAAAGTGTGTCAACTATGGTGCGTCTCTATTCTAACTAACACAGTGATGCCCAACCTAATTGAATCTGAGGGCCATTTAAATTTTCAACACTAGTGTCGCGGGCCACATGATGGAGCAGATACAAAACTTACTGAAATTGACCAGAAACTATTTTATTTCAAACCTGAGGATCTAGTACTTACATTGAAGTATTGGGATATGTGAATTTTCTCGTTACACTTCAAAATAATGGCGTAAGTTCTGTTTATATTTTGCTGTTCTTGTTTTATAAAAACAGCCAGACTTTCTTTATCAAAACAAACATGTTGGCTAGTAATGGTATCATGTGCTACAAAACAGTAAAGATCAGTTCACTTCTATTTCATGAACACACTAATGTTAAATGCCTTGGTAGTAACCATTAGAAAAAAATGACAATACTAAAGTAGGTAAAGATAAATTTTGAACATTTTTTTTTTGGGGGGGGGGGGGGGGGGTCTATATTCTGTGCCAATGTTTCGGCGGGCCAGATGGAAGTACGTTAGGGGCCGGATCTGGCCCGCGGGCCGTATTTTGGGGATCACTGGGCTAACATAACGTTATCTCCCCTGTTCGATGTTTGATTTTCATTTATATATGTTCCCCATCTCATAGAGACTATCAAGATTTAGCCGTGACCTTCGTCAACGCCTGCTACGAGAAGGACGCTGAGACCACGCTCAAGATGCTCACCAGGAAGATGGAGCGCTACGATAACCAGTCGTGCATAGACATCGCCATGTCCTCCGAAAACCTGGACTTCTTAGAGCAGCCTGCCTGTGTGACTATTCAGAGGCGGGTCTGGAACTGGGGCTACTTGTGGGACTTCTATTCGGACAACGCTAGTAAATTGGACCAGTTTGAAGTAGAGTCTGGGTCCCAAAAGCCTAAGGTAATTGTTAACTAGGTATTACTTTTACGTATTCCTTTTAAATTTTGTACATTCAATTCATGAACATGTAAACTTAGAATAGAAAATTTTTTTAAATGTCTCAACCGTGTCGACCCTCAAATAAAATTGTTTGTGACGGCGAGGATGTAAGAAAATATCAAGTGGCTTAAAAACACAGATCGATTTTATCACGTGATCAATGGAAAATAAAAAGGGGGGGGGTGGGAGGTTGATAGCCAGTACTCCAGCAGACTTGAAAGTCTTTAATCTAAAATCAATAGGGGGGCGGCTGGATTTTTATTTCAAATGTGAAATCGTTAATTGTACTCAAGTGTTCTTCACCTTCTTCTTTCTTTAAAAAAATGTAATCATTACTCTTATTATAGTCATACTTTATTCGCGTTGTTATACATATATAATCTGTTTTCAGTCTATAGTCAGAGAGCAGTTAAAAAAAAATTGGTAAGTACCTCAGTTTTTTTTATTCTATAATAACTAATAAAGTTACTAAAAAAGTATGATTTCGTCAGAAGAAATGTTTCACTATAATATATTCTAAACGGTATTAAAATATTTAACGAAAATATGTAGATGTATTCTAAACAGTGTTTTTTTTAATTTTTATTTTTTTAAATAAATGATAAACAAGTGTACTAATAAGGCAATAAACTACATGTTTAATTAGTAGGGATATGGAGTAGATTCCCTGAAAACGGTCGGTATATAGACCTGGTCCATGGTCCTTGTATTTCTTTGACAAAAATCTCGATCGAGCAATTCAGCTTTGTGTTTCAGCCATTTTTTACTCGTCTTTTTTAGAGACCATCAAAAGGGGAAAAGACGCTATTAGTTTTGTGTGGCCTGTCTGTCCGTCTGTCCGATCGTCTGTCCGTCCGTCCCGTTTAGATCTCAGAAACTAGAAGAGAAAATTAAAATCGGACATCATGATATTTTAGATCATTCAAAGTTATGATGCAACAGCTACTTTTTTCTTTTCCAAAAGTGAACCATCTAATTTTTTAAATTATATATGAGTAAACAGATTTTTCAAAATATTACACTATTTTTCAATGAAACACTTCAGGGAAAGTAAGTCTTATTAAAAAGTTTAGAAGCTTTTTCACATAGACATATATATACTATATCTACACTGGACAAGCAGACTTTTTAACACTACAAAAATGTGAAATTTTTTCAGAAAGTTGGATCAAGGAGTTGTTTTGTAAAGTAGTTAAAAGAAATTAAGGCTTTTTTTGCAACCCTAACCTATGTAACATGTAATTTAATTTTTAGATCTAGATCTGAATCTGAATCTAAATTACAATAATTAGAGGCCAGATCTACAAAGATCTATATACGAGTTCTAGTCTAGTAGATTCTATATCAAGATTCTAGATCTAGATCTAGACTTAGATATAGTATAGACTTAGACTTAGATTATAGATCTAACTCTATATCTAGACTTAGAGTTAGATATAGATAGACTAAGATTCCCAATGTGGTCTATTTAGACCCCAGGGGTATACGAAGACTTCCAAGGGGTCTACGAAAGTAAAAAAAAACGAATTGGGGGTCTACGATAATAGATTTCATTTCAGCAGATCGTGATTTGAATTTTTACATTCCATTAACGTAGTTTTTCACAATAAGATATTAATTTGTATCTAAGTTATTCCTTTAAATATTTATCCTGCTATTCAAACGAAAAATTGTTGTATTTAATTTCAATACTTATTTTAATAACTTAATTGTGACTACATGTAAGTAATGTTTAACAAAAAGAAATGCCAACTGTATAGTGTTGATTATTTAAAATTATTCATTCCTTCCTTGACAAACAAGCCAACTGCCTTTTTTATGACGATATAAAATTAATTACGCTGGATGATCATCTGAGACAATGTCACCCTGATAAAAAGATAAAGATTTGAAAAACGTTCAAACAAAGACAAATTCAGAATAGACCCACAAAATCTCTCCTCGACATCATATAGAGAAGATTATGGTTTGTGGACGTCTTACAACATCTGTTTACGTATAGCGAAATTGGGGGCGTGGTGGTAGTTGTTAAGCGCTTGGCTTCCGATCCTGGGGACCTGGGTTCGAATCAAGGTGAATTTTGAATTTCAGGATTTTTAGGGCTACCACGAGTCCTCCCAACTCTAATGGGTACAGTACCTGACTTAAGTTAGGAAAAGTAAAGGCGGTTGGTCGTTGTGCTGCCCACATGACACCTTACTCGTTAACCGATGGCCAAAGAAACAGATGACACATCGTCACAAGGTCTGAAAGGGGAACTTTACTTTTTTAAGGCAAAATAGCACCATAGGTAAAACATTGATTTTTACCAGCCGTTGTAGTTTTCAAAAACTGTTTTACACAAACCTACATCTGATATTATTAAAAGAATTTCTTTAAAAAACAATACAATTCAAGGTCCCTTCAGTGAAATGATTTATAAAATTAAAAGCTTCTTATGTTATGTTTGCAAACGACATCTATACAGTTTGGGATCAGCAGCGTCACAGGCTGTGACAGGGTGTAGTGATGTGTGCTGCAAACTGCATAAAGGTCGCCGGCTCTTTTTTTTTCCTCAGGGTTGAACCATCAAACCTTTCCCAAGTTTGAGTACGGCTAGGGAGTTTTGAATTCAGCTTTATTTCTGCTTGAAGCTTACTGGTTTTGGTGCCAGTAACTCGCCTTCGCCCCTTCTCCTGTTAGTGATACCATCTTCGCGTACTCATTGTTTGAGCAAAAGAAAGATCAAGAGAAACTGCTCTTTGTAAAAACTTTTACAATGATACTTAAGGCAAATTACCGAAAAACAGAAAACATGACAAGGGGTCTACGCACTATCGGATCCAAGACTTTGGTGGGAATGGGCAATTTTTTCCAAACCCGAACCCTAACGCCCAGTAAACCTTAACCCTATGCATAAACGTGCGTACGGTATATATATATATATATATATATATATATATATATATATATAAATATATATATATATATATATATATATACAATTTTAAAAAAAGCTATGTTTCTCAACCTTCGTCGAGAAAAAAAACAAACAGCCCCCTAACCTTCCTATTGCAAGTTCGGGTCTGGGGAAGCGCCGTAAGCTTTTCCAGTGGGGGTTTTTCTTGCATTCTTTACTGCAGAAACGCATTCTCCAGAAATCTAAAGCACATTATTCATCAGTTGGGTTCGGGGCAAAGGCCCGATGCCTAAAGCGTTTTCTTACATTCTTCACTGAAGAAACGCATTTGATGCCATCGCCCCCTCCCGACCCCACCAAATCGGCCAACATACTTTGGGGGGGGGGCGAAATAGTCTAATTATAGGTTGAAATATAAATAATTATTATATATTATTAACATAAGTAATAAATTCGTATGCAAATTGTGTGAATTCTATACTAAAATTCGTTCGCCCCTAGCGCCCCCCCCCCTGGATCCGCCAGTGGGTCTACTAGACAAAAAAGTTTGGGAACCACTGACTTAGAGACTTAGAATGACTTATATTTAGATCTAACTCTAGATCTAGACTTTAGACATAGAGACTTAGATCTATTTCTAGGCTTAGACTTAGATCTTGAATCTAAAATCTAGATTTAGATCTAAAACTAGGTCTAGATCTAGCAAGATTTATGTCTAGTTTGTATCAAACTGAAAGTATAAGGAACTATTTCAAATATTTTGTACGTTTAAATATGTGTTTCCGTAGTGTAGTGGTTATCACCTTTGCCCAACACGCAGAAGATTCTTGGCTCGAAACAAAGTTGAAATTTATTTTTTTAGTTAATAAATATTTCTAATTTTTTTTGTGAGTCACATCCTGTAAAAAAGATATATTTTTTACAGCCTAATATGTTTTATCCTCTACCAATGTCTAGATCTGTCCGTCTGTTTCTATGTGGGCCGATTTTAAGTTTGAGTTTCCACACAAACTGTCTTTTTAACCTTGTTTTACTTTAATTTGTTAAAATATGTAAAATCCCACAGCTAATGTTGATACGTTTTATTTATTTTAAAGGTTAAAATATTTTCAATCTCTCTTTGCACCTGTGACAATGTTTTCTTTAAATGGAGTAAGTATGCCTATATGTTGTTTTTTTTTAGATATTTAGAGTCAGACCTACAATGTTTGTGTAGGTTATTATCTTCCTGTTTCAGCTGTCACTCATTTAGTAAGAATGTTTATTGAGCGACGGGAAAAAATTCCAATCTAGAAATGTGTACTCGATCTCCCTTGAAATACTTTGACTGGGGGAAGACTGATGAAACCAAGGAGGTTATATTTAGATGGAGTTGGCGTGACGTCACTAGGTTGAAGCCAAATCGCAGCCATCTTGGTCTACTCAAATTAAAACGTGTAGTCTGTTGTTTTTTTTGAGAAATTTGTTCGACAATATTTCACGGCATTATTTAAATATCTGTACATTGTACAATATCTTATAAAACGTTAAAAACACAGTCTATAGAATAATATAAACATTACAAATGCCTTCTTGTTCGGCATACGGTTGTACGCAACGACGACCAGAAAACGGATTTATCTGAGCACATGTTTGAATGTGAGCCTACTGAAAACCATGTAATTTTACTCAAGGCAATAGCAGAGAAATATCTGCAAGTGCGGTATCACTACGCTGCAAAACATTACACTTTTAGGAATCATATGCAAAAAGGTGCTGTGAGCAGACAGGTGCATACAAAACTAATTCTCTTCAGTGGTAAATAATTAGTTATCTCCCACTAGCTCATTGACTTTGTATATTCAGTATGGTTTATCAGTGTGTTCTTATATAATGTCTTCATATTTGTATAAAAATGTATCTTCCCACATTTTACATACTAAACATTTTAGATGTAGGCCAGAGTTTAATTAGGGAAAGATTAGTTAGTATTACTGTAACATTATTATTAGTAGTAGGTAGTAGTACTCTTTTCACTTCAATTTTATCAATTTTGTGGTGATTTCAGTGCGGTAAAAAGAATCAAAAATATAACAAACCTCTTTCAAATCATTTTTGTGCTTTTTTCAGCCCACAATAGTGCTTAATTTCGATGTAATCATTATATTTCGGTTTTGTAGGCCTCGATCAGGTGATCGTATAAATCCCTTTACATGCTATACAGCGCTTTGTAATTGATCCATTGGAATATCTAGACCACCAGATATGAACTTGGGCCTTAGAGGAGTTTAGAAAAAAACATGATGACAAAATACGAGGCTAATTGAGTCGTTACGAGAATTCGAAAACTGGTATCGCATTGAAAACGGATGGAATGTTTTGAGTAAACCAATATGGCGAATAGGCTACGCCCACTGGCTTCAACCGATAATGAACATTTGATAGCAACCGCCATCTCCATCTAATTATAACCTCCTTGGATGAAACATTACATGGTTTTGGGACTAGTTCTAGCCAATGATTAGCACAACGACTCAATCATCCAGCCTTACACCAAAATATCATATATCTATTAGGCCAGCGTTTTCAAACATTTACTTTATAGACCAAAAAGAAATTACGTTCAACCCCTCTCCAACAGCTAAGGGCATGGGTCGGAGCCCGGTGCCAAACATCTTACTGCATTTTTGAGCTTTTAAATTTATACTGCTGGCTTTCTACTGGCAAGAAGAGTGCATGTCGAATTAAAATTAAATTAAGAAACAGTGTGGCTTGCCAATAGTGTAGGTTGGAGACATTCGAGGCAGTAGTGCATGTGCAATTGTAATGGTGTTGATCGTGGTAACCTCATCGTTTTTTTCAGCAAGCCATCATTTATCTGGAAGCTTTGTTTACGCCAAAGACGTCAGCGGAAAGATTGTTCATTACTCGGAAGAAATTTGAGAATTCTAACGAAAGAATAAGGGAGTATGAAAAGTATTACTTAATAGTTGAAAAACACTACCTAACAGTATGAAAAGCACAACTCAACCGTATGAAAAGTACTACTTAACAGTATGAAATGTCCAACTTAGAGATAAGACGTCACTTGATGAATACTGAACTATTTAAATATATTGTAATAGTGCATTTTGTACTTGATTTTAAATCGTATACATCAGCTACGATGTAAGTACAACAGATTTGTCTGCCCTAAGAGTTAGAGATAAAGAGACTGCACTCGTACCCCATTGTAAGTAATTGGAACTCTAAGGAAGAGAGTGCCCCCACAGTTTGAGAAAGGCTGGATAAGGTCTAGGTGGATTTAGGAATGTTTATAAAAAAAAATCATGAATCACAGCATTCTAGACAATGGAATTGTGTAGACGCCTGCGTTCTGTTGTCAATTAGTCAGAATATCAGTAGTTGTTTCTTTGTATTTGACAAGTACAGAACTATCCTCCTCTAACGAATATAATATCATGCACTCTTGCTCTTTTCCAGATGGGTCTCTTAGTCTTTATCTTTGCATTTTCACTGACCCTACTGGGTCGACTTGAGCAAAGCACATTTCACTGGCTGGAATGGTACCTGGCAGCCAATGTTGTGGTTAGTTGTTTGGAAGAAATTATGGAGGTAAATAAAACACGCTATAAATAGTTTTATGTGCTATGTACTATGATTTTTTTTTTTCATTCAATGAGTCTCAATTGTGGGTTTTAAGGTTTTCATTAGTATATTTTGTATTATAATTGTACGTGATGTAATGGAATTAAATCAAGTTATAAATTTATGTTCGTTCAGAATTATTACACCCTAGCCCATACCTCCCAAAGGACGGTGGGGGGGGGGGGGATGACGGTGAGCAGGGCTCGAACCTGGGACCATCTGGTCGATAGTCCGGAGCACATACTAAACGATCAGGCAGCCATTAATATATTTAAAATATAAATATATAGGTCTTCAATGTAAAAAAAAGCAAATTACGCACTCAAAAATGCTATGAGCGTTGCCAAACGGGGTTTTGAGTTAAACCCCCTTTCAGAGGGGTTCGATGCTAAAAAAAACTTCTTCAATATAAAAAAAAAATTACATACTAAAATTATTTGAGCATAGCTGAGCCAATTGGGGTTTTGAGTTTAAACTCAGCTCCTATAGATGGCTTTTTTTTTAAGTTTAAAACCCCTCCTGATGGTTTTCAGTTTAAAATCCCTTGACAGAGCGTTTTGAGGTAGAAAACCTATATCTTCAATATTATTCTAAAGCAAACTACAGTTACTAAATTCTATGACCGCAACTAAATGGGGTTTTTTTAATTTAAAAAAATAATAACTCCAGAGATATTTTAGTTTAAAAACCCCAACAGGTGATTTTGACGATAAAACTTCTCTTTTCGATATAAAATCTAAAGCAAACTACAGTCCCTTATTCCAAGAGCTACCTTATTCCAAGAGCGTATTCAAGAGAGGTTACACATTTCTACTAATAGCGGGACTCCATTAATAAAGTGCAGTCAATAGTCATCTGCGAAATTGAAAAACACCACATGTGGCTCATCAAAGATGGCTAAGACAGATTTTAGGAGTCAAAGAGACCGGGTGTAAATCAAGGAAATCCTATGCCGAACTGGGAGTCAACCCCTTAGTAAGATTGTGACAGAGCGTCGCATGAGGTTTGCGGGACATGTTTTCCGACAAAATGAATTATGCATAATAAGAGTTTCGATGACATTCTATTAAGTACAACTTGGCGCCACACATTCATGAAGGTCATCAGAGCAGATGGGAAGAGTTTTCAAACATTACCAGTGACAGATTTTTGTGGAAACTGCTTGACAACAAATGCGCCGAACGGCGCGGGAGGGTCTTAGTCAGTAAGAATAGCACATTAGGTTTTTGAAATAAAACTTTTTAATAGCAGGAAAAAGCACTGTAGATACCTCAGAATATGCATTTCGTTGGCTTTCAATACCAGAAATAGTGGAAAGCTTCTAGCGCTCCTCCAGACCCCGTTTCTACCAATGGCGGGGAGTCTACAATGTTTCCAGGAAGAAATTCTAGGGCACAATAAACGTGTTCCAAAAGAGTGAAGGGTTAGAATGTAATAAAGATAATGTACACACACACACATACATACATATGAATATATTTTTTTGCGGGGAGGGGGGGGTGGTGGGAGAAAAAAATCCCCCCCCCCAAACACCCCCAACCCGAAAAAAATCCTGGCTACGCCCATGTGTAGGTCTATATGCATTCTTTTAATTTTCCTTAAAATATGTATACATAAATATACATAATAGGTTTAAGACTTATTTTATTTATTTCATTTGACAATATTTTTAATATTCTAAAAATTGTATATTTTGCCCTGACAATTCTAGTTGTCAATATTTGTTTTAGAATGATTTTGTTTCCTTAGGCCTTTAAAATCATTCTGAAGGTTTACTCAGTTTAGTATATATTTCGCAAGCAATGCACAGGAGAAGAACTTTTAGATTTTTAAGTAATTTTATTACAAGTGTCACTCATGTTTCAATGCATCTTTTTCTTGGCAGATGAAAGATTGTTCTAATCAAGGCAGATGGCTGATTTACTTTTCAAGTGGCTGGAATATTGTTGACATGTTGTCAATACTTTTATTTGTCATTGGTGCAGTCCTCCGTGTTGTTGCTTTCTTTAAAAGCACAAGTAAGAAACAGATTTAGTAAGAAACTCATTTAGTAAGACACTCATTTAGTAAGAAACTCATTTAGTAAGAAACTTGTTTAGTAAGAAACTCATTTAGTAAGAAACTCATTTAGTATAAACATATTTAGTAAGAAATTCATTTAGTAAGAAACTCATTTAGTAAGAAACTCATTTAGTAAGATACACATTTAGAAAGTAACACATTT